GTAGATTTCGCGACACTGTCGTTAAAGATACCGTAATACCGCAATATTCTTGACGACGGTCGTGAGAACTACCAACTGTCGCCAAAACTGCCGGATTATTTAAGAATATGTCGTAGAAACTGCCCCAGGACATATATATATATATTCCACTGAAACGTCATCGATACAAGCGCAGCGCTCGGAAATAGATCAAAGACACTTCGTTTCTCCACCGGACTGGGATTAATCGTGAGTCACATCCAGGAACAGAGCATGAGCTATGCTCGGCATCATCAATGACCGTTTTCGTGACTGCAGAAATGCTCCAACTGACTTCCCTCCGTATCGATATACTAATCTGCCTTCTTTGTGACTATCCCATGCAGACACACATAGGTTGATATCATGAAAACCAATTAACTTATGATTGTCATTAAAAGCAGGATTGAGCTTGGCTTGATTCTTTAGGCTGTATAACGATTCAGATTGTCTCAATTTCTGTATCGGTGAATTGCGTTATATCCAGAATTTTGTGCTACCAGTAATTTACTTTCCAATGTAGAAAACCACTGAAACAATAATAAATTTCATATGTATTGCAACTTTACTTTACTTACTTTGTACGATAAACCGCTCATGTCTCATTTCGCGTCCTGGTGATAAAAATAACAATTTGTTTACCTGATACTTTATATGGGTATAATCTGTTGTCGTTTATCAGTTTTACTTTCACTGCGTTTTTTTACATATTTTGTAGATAATCTTTTAGCTGTATTATAAAGGAAATTATCAGAATGTATTTTTGTTTTTCTGGATAAAATGTTATTAATAAAAAGTGCAGGATATTTAAATAAATTCCACTGCAATTATTTGTAACAAAACTTCTTTTAAATGTGTGCATTGCTCAGGAAAATATGTAAGATATTTGTCCTCCAAAACATGTGCTAATTTTTCCGAAAATTTTGACTCATAACAAATGTTTGGGAATGTCTTTTTCATAATATCTGTGGCATCTTGTACAAAATGAACAATATTTCCATTTTCTAAA